ATTTGTACCAAACAGACCCTTAAAATAACTTTGGTGGGGGTAGGTAGTAGGGTGGGTATATATGTTATTTTAATTTTATAATATCATTATTAATTAAAATGATAAAAACCTGAAAATTGAATAAATAAAGTTTAAACCTGATTTTTTAAAATGTCAAACTAAACGCCTGATTTTATGCAATTTTCACTTCTTAAAAAATACATCTTTTAAAACTCATTTTCAACCACATATTTTTCAATAAAATAATATTTTCCTTACTTTTTAACCACATATTTCTTATCATATCACCATTTAAAATATATTATTTTCTCAATAATTTCCATAAAAGACATCCTAATTTTTGCCAGCGAGCTGCTCATTTGACCCATAGCTATACCTAATTTTGAGATTCATATTTTGGCAACCTACGAAGAAAATGCATAACCTCAACTTCTAGATTTTTCTTTTTCATTTCTTCGACTTTTTCTACCTGTGGACAAAAGTACAGCTCTGCTAAAGTTTAATCTGCTGGATATACGGTCTCCATCATCATTAAGCTCGTCTTTGGGGTCCACGCGTTTCCTTCTTCAATCCTTACGTGTCAAGATAAATATTATACACATGGATGAATCAGGTTGGATAACCCCAGAAATTTACTCGAACAAAGATATATCCAACAACCCAAATAATACGGGGACCCGACAAAGAGCAAGATCTTCGGAAAAATAGAGAAAGTGACCTTTTAACCCACTGTCTTGCACTACAAATATCTCATTTCAACTTCTTATTTTAATTCTTATTATTCATTTCTGAAATCCCCCAAATTGAAATTTCGTTCAAGTTCCAGTATTTCTGTGCTGCTCTGTGAGGTGGGTTCTCTCTTTGCTTTCTCCTGTTTTACTGTGTTTTTCTTGATTTTTTATTCTTTAGCTTTTTGGGTTTGAGCTTCATGCTTTTGTGTAAGTAGATTTTTTTCGGTCTGCTGTTGCTTGACATTGTGGTTGCTTTTACTTCTCGAAATTCTTGACTGATTATGCCAATTTAATTTTATGCAAACAAATTACTATTTGCCTGGAAATGCTTTTTTCTAGGCACTATTTGTTTTTCTATTTGTGGCTTCCTTTTTGTGAGAATTGAGTTTACTTTGTCACGGTTGGGGTAGATAACTTGATTTTTTGTGAA